AGGCTCAAGGAACGGGCAGCATGGCTGCACGACTGCGTATTTAAAAACAGACAAGAGACAGACACAGAGGATCTTTTTACGGTGACAGACACTCACACCAGAATGTGAGACTAGCGAAAGCAACGCTAATGTTTGCAGTCAACAGAAGTTGCCTTGAAATTACTGCAGTACAAAGCTGTGGGAAGAGCTGTGGCTTCCCAGACACCGTGCTCAGCCACGCTGAGCTTTGTGGGTGCTGGCCGCTGTCGGTCCGTGCTGCGGTGGTGGCAGCAGCAGCCACCGGTAGGGACGAGCCACCCGGCCCAGACTCGGGCTTCCCGCTTGTACCACCCTGCCCGTAGCTGGATCCGATGTGCAATGACTGACCGGTACGCTACAGCAGAATGTAAAAGCGAGAAGCATACCTGACTGTGGCCAGCTAGCGGGTGGTGTCACTGCACTGAGTTTCAAAAGCCAGCGTGTGCCTTTTAGAAAGAATAAGCTACATTTTGCCAGTGGGTAATAACAAGATTTTGCCGGTTTATGCTTCGCTCTATGTGTGAGATTGACTCACCTCTACAAACGATGGGGTTTACAGAGGCAGCAAAAGGAGAAACCAGAAATCAAAAAGGGAGAGACTGCTACATGATCATGTTAGGCCTATAAATGTTTCACAAAGTAAGCAACGTCCCCCGTCACCATGGGGACACTCTAAATGGCAAAAGTCCAAACCTTTTATGGTTTTCTGTGCATCCGTTCTTTCACGTTCTTTTTCATGTTTTAGTATCAAATTCTAAGTAAAAATCTAATTGCCAGTATTTTAGTGTGTACGTGTACATGCACGGGCCAGTAGGTACACCCCGTCTCGTTCACGTCTAGGCTGTGCTCACAAAACATCTTATTCGAACAAACAAAAAGGCCTCCTCCCACTTCAGTGGTCAGGAGAGTACCAAGGTTAACCAAGTACTTGCCTCCAGGTATGGAAAGTACGTAGCTGAACATAAGTAAGCTTATGCACATGAAAAATAGTAAAAGACATTCAGAACGCGCTCAGTAAAAACAATAAGTCATCTCTTTGTGTGTTGAAAATATCCTGTGGACACAGGGAAGCAACTCTTATCTGAGAGCGGGTTTAATTAGGGTAGGTATTGTGAACAAACCCTAAGTTGTTCACCTGTAGTTCACTTGATAGATTTGATTACTTGGATAGATCCATGTTTCAGTAGCTCATTCCATACGCAACTAACCCAAGTTACAAGCAATATCATCAGTTGTCTTGCGACAGCTTCATTCCCTCTCCCGTAACAGGCTGTGCTAAACAACGGCACACGTAACGATTCTGCAGGAGCACTCGGTCTCTTAGAAGCTATCAAAATGCCGTCATCTTGCGCTTCCTTGGTGATGTGACTGCTTTTTTAAAAGGTGGTGTCTGTTCCACCTGGGGACTTCACAGGTCTTAATCTGGCATCCGTGACAAACCATCTGAAAGGATTACTAAAATAAATCCAAAGCCTGGACATCAACGTATATGAACCAGTTGAGTTGCACCTTTATACACCACGTCTAGATTTCACCCTACGTATTTCAACTTCTTTGCAGTAAGTGCTTGTGTGGTCTGGTAATGGACAGAAGCGGTGTCCTTAACTGTCTTTGTAAATACTCCTGGTTGACTGAAGGTTCCTGAATATACAGTTCCAAACTGTCATTGATTGATAAGCTAGAATTTTTTCAAGGCTTGATGCTACGCTAATAGACCTACTAAGATCTGCCTTGAGTGGCACAGATTCCCCTATTAAGTACTCCTAATACGAAATGCACAAGTCCTGGTGAATACAGCAATGAACATTTGTGAAAAGTTACTTACTTGGATTGCACAGCTGCAGCTTTGAACACCCTCGCTCTATTCTGTCCATTTGGACTGACAGACACAATAACCAGAAAGGTGACTTCATATTATAAACCAACAGGAAGGTTTCACTTCCATCTACAGATAACCATTTCCTAGAAGCACCTTCCTTTCAAATCCTGAAACAACCTTCCCAACCAAAAGTTGACGCTTAAACCCTGAAAAGAGTAACAGAAAAGCAAGAACACCAAGGCTTTTTAAGATGGCTATTTTCACTCTCTCTGAAAGAAGACACTTCTTCGTCTACGATAGGAACACTAGTAATGATTAGTGGCATAATTGGTAATAGGACGCTCTTATACAAAATAGGAATTTTATAATATTCCAGAGCACCAACTAAACGAGTCAGGGAAACCTGACTGGCCGTTTCAAGGCAGAGTCTCTAAAGGACACCAACCGTTGGAATACGGAAAATGTACCCCTCTCGGAGTGGCTCTATTAAATTCCTTTTTACAGGAAATCGACTGCTCTTTTCTGGACAGCGAGAAGTCTGAGAATATTTTACAAAAGGTTTATAATGGCATTGCCTCCAAATCCCAAATGACATCCGTGCTACGTATTGCACGGAGCAGTCCAATAGTTACATTACAGATCCAACGGCTAGATTATCTTAATCAACTTGCAGGGAAAAGAAATGGGAGTGCTTCTCGGAGAAAGTGCTGAGGAGCCTGGGTGATTTAGCAGCCTGTCCGTCAATGGGTCTCAGCTTAATTGGGTTCTGAAATGGTGTTCACTGTTTATTGACCTCTTTCCGTATTATTACAATATCATGGTTAATACTTCCCAGGGATCCTAAGAGGACTCCGTACCCTTCACAGTTACTTCTTCTCACCAGGTTCCTTCACCCTTCATTATTACATTTCCCCTTTTCAGGCAGCGCTACCGTTGGTAAGAGAGGTGAATTTTGGACACGAGCCTTAGAAGTAGCTGGACGATGGATTTGGCTTCAAGTCAGCGTTTAACTTGAAATGTACACTTCATTCTTTATGAAGTGAATGACACCCATACATAAATGCCTTGCTGAAATGAAGCCTGAATGGCTATAGCAGTGAAACTTTCGCTTTGGGTAAGGAGACATGTTGCAAGGTCTCTTGAGATTCCTTGTAAGGGACTCCTCCTACCTATGACACCAAGCATTTGATGCAATGGCTTATCTAAACAAAGGCAAGAAACCAAATGGAGAAAAATACTTTCCTCAGTCTTTCCAGATGCCGTGAGTGTATACGCCTTGTTTCCCTGGAAAGCCAGGTAAAACACTTTTAACATGGAGTTCCACGGGGTTATAGGGGAAAGCACAATTAATGAGAAGTTAAACTGGTAGGGACTAGACTCTGGCCCCTAGTTGTCCTGCACACATTAAAGAGAATGATGGTGTATTTTCTCATTTCTGAGTGGCTACGTTGTTAAGAGTGTCTTGGAGTGATGAGAAAAAGGAGGGAGAAGGTGGCGAAGGAGTTTCATCCTCTCCCTGTCTCCACACACAGAGAGAGACAGCTACTGATGAGGCACTTCTAAACTGGAGTCTGGGGTTAATCACTGCCACTACTGATGAATCAGGATCCAAATGTAAGCCACTTACTGTACAGAAAAGAAAAACTTCATTACGGCTTGGAATATTTGAAGTGCCTACATCGGGAAAACTCTTACAGTCAGAAACGTAATGTATTATCTGAATAATAGACACATCTGTGCAAAAGACAGCTTTGCTGAGGATTTTAAAAGAGCCAAAGGTTAACCAAAGGCAACTGAGTGATCGCTGTCTCACATTTATTCTTCTTTTAAATAAGGTGACCTTTTTCCGGATGATGTTTCAGAGTCCTCTTTTTTTTAGCATTCAGTTTTTTTCTTCTTTTTTCACTTTTGCAGATTTTGTTCTCTTCTAACTGAAACTGATGCTTTCATTTATTCTGATAAGCAGCCTGCATCTCCTGAGCAGCTGTTTTGCTAATAAGTATCATTAGTCGTGCCGCTGGTAGACGCTAGGTTCTGGAGATTCCGGTTTGGGCCATAACAGGACCATCTATTACGGGAGGTCATTATTACTGCTATTAGTACTGCTATGATACTTTGCTTTGTTTCAAAGTATGCCTACTGGTTTCTCCTTTGGCATCTTTTTAAATCAAAATGTCACCTCTGCTGTCATCTGGGGAAACTGAAAACCAGTACAAAATGGCATAAATAGTCCTTTTTGAAAACAATCGCTTTTCATCAGCCAAATCCCAAGCATTTTCAGAAAGGCTTTTGAAAGAGTCAAGGCTCAAGCAAAAAGGAATTTATGGAAAAGAAGAAAAAGCTTTGTTTAGCGTGCTGTTCATTGCATTAACGTCCTTAAATGAGTTTTTTTCATTTATGTTTTAAACAGTCCCAAAATGGAGCAAGTATGAATCTGCAGACTTTTCAGGATCTCTCTCTCTCTCTGGAACATAATGCAGAGCTCAGACCTATTTCTAAATTTTACTGAAACTTGGATTAAATGAAAGAGTGAATTTTGTAAATAATTTACAAGAGCTAAAGCTATCCGGAACTCCTCATCACAACACAGAAATGTAAATAAATGTCTACTGCTAGAAAGGCAGACTAATTTAACATGTGATTTTTGTCTCTTGTAATGTTTTTTTTTTTACTGTAATACTTACCACATAGCAGAGCAGTCAGAATTCACCAGGAGCCATTTGTGAGTACTAAAGTTAAAAGTATCTGCAAACTGAGAATGGATAAATAAAAAACAGAATTATGAAAGAGAACAGGATCCATGTGCTAATGATACAACTTTGTCAAATTGTCTGAGCACACCTTAACTACGAATGAATTCCTGAATTGGGACTTTATAGATAATGTTCATGCTGATGTCACCTTCCTTAATAACTGTTGTAGTTAAATCTTCGTTTATTTGGGAGACAGCATTCAGGTTAGGTGTGAAGCTAGGCTGTTGGTGTTAGCAACATTTTGAGCATTTGCTAACAATTATACCTTTTAGATACATATGTTATGAAAAAGTAAATATCTCAGTGTAAACTAAAAAAAAAATATCTGCACACTCAGAAACATCCATTGTGGTTCATATCCCAATTTCCAAAACCAATTCACTAAGCTTTCTATTTGCAAGAATATTAAACATACACACACAAAATTCATACGTAGAGACAAATGATACATTTAGTTTGGAATTGGTGTATCACACTCATTCATAAAATTACAACTGGCCAGGAAATGACCTTTTTTTTTTACTGCCAGGGTATTTTCTTTTAGTAGAAGACATTTTTTCATCCAAGTCAAAAGAAAAACCAACACAGAATAAGCATTCACAGTACATGTTTATATAAATCATGTAACAGGCCCGTTTCACTTGATGTATGTTTAGGCGTGGCATCAGAGGACACGCAGGTAGGTGAGACGGCCATTGCGTGGGAAAGGCTTCGTCCGTGTTCTATGTGTTAACAAAGGCAGAAGCCATCAGCCTTAAAAAAGAGATAGGGCCTGGCAGCACCAGGATCTGACTACTCCGTACAGCACTTTTCTGTTCTCATTTGCTTCTCATAACCTTCTCTGTCACTTGTAAACAATTAACAATTGCTCTCATAAGAGGAGATTGTCTGTCTGTCTCTCTATCTATCTATACATCTATCTAGCTATCTCCCTGTACTATGTCAGGTAAGAAACCTATTCATGGTTGTTAAATATTTACTCTTATGACAAATGCTGGCCCCGACAAGGTATGCTGTTTCATTTCCTTCAGGAGCCAATAGCAATAATTTAAAAAATATTCCCCCACAGGAAATTACAACAGGCTTCATTTGCTGATAAAAAAGAGACAGAAAGAAATGCTTTATTTGTCAGGGGGGTTTCCCTCCTCTTCTTCATTAGTCCCTACCTATCAGTGCTGTGTTTAAACTTCTGGCTTTACCAAACAGTAATATTTTCTCCACTGACGTGGAAGACAAGGACTTATCTGGCTGTCTGAGGGGAGCAGCAGGAAATTGAAGTATTCTTATCTGGGCAACTGAATGCCAAGCAGCTCAGCGAGGCGGGGAAAAGGAACAGGAGTGCTGCTGGAGGAATATTTCATTTAGCTCTCTTGGTTATTAAACCCTGTCTGTTTGAGATACAGCTACTGGCTGTATCCTAGATGACTTTCAGGATGTAAGCAAAAAATCAGACATAATGAGCTCATGCATTTGTTGAACTTCTTTTCTTTTTGGTGTTTTGTTGTTTTTTTTTTCTCTTTTGTGTAATGCAGAATTAGGGTGTTATAAACGTGCCTTTTTGGACATTTGGGAAAAAGTTCCTCTCTTCTGTTTTGTAAGACACTTTGTTGATTCACTGCTCCTTGCTGTTCCAGATGACAGACTTTTACATACGCTGGTAACTTGCATACTCCCAGAATAAACCACTAAAAACTACATAAACATAAGTAATGTAATAGACTGTACAGGGAGTTGTAGTGCAAACTGAAGTGCGGCGTACTCAGAGATTCTACAAGAGCCGGTAATGTTGGGTGCATAAGAAACGCACAAGTTCTATGGAAGAGCAAGGTTTTAGCAGGCTGCTAGAGAAGAAACACTTCATTCACCTCCACTCCATTTAAAAGGTGCCTGAATTCAGGGCAGATGAATGCACTCCCGGCGTAGGCTGCATCAATATGCATCCAGATATTTTCCTTATTGCCTAAAAAAAAAAAGTAATTGAAGGGGAACTAAATTAAACAGCAGATTAAAAAGCCCCATTAATTTGCATGAAACCAAGTGCCTGCGAGACTTTCCTTTGATGTTATTATTTTCCCACTTTAAAATTAAATTAAGAGATTAAATGTTTCTACCACCTGGGTTTCCATTAATACATAAAGATGTATACGTAACATCTTCTTCTTCCTCCCCACTTCTAATGGAACTGAGTCCTTCTGTGTCTAGGTTTATCTCATGAATATGAAGCAACATAAAATATTAAAGGATTTTGATTTAAGAACCATTATAAAATACACTTTAAAAAGATGTATCTAGAGACGTAGTTATCATTTCTGTGGTACGAAAACTATCTACCTTAGCAAGAGGAGCTAGCGTTTTAGCTGTGCTCCCCACTTCTAACTCATGAATGACAAACACATGTTTCTAAACAGTGTGTTTTCCATATTGATGCATGTGCACGCGCGTGCTTCTGAACTACGTGGAGCAAACTCTTTATTTCGAGGACGGAGACACTTATGCAAAGGCAAGCATTGAAAGGTTAAGAAAGTGCTGGTTTCGATTAGTCACTGAATGGTTTCTGCAGCCGTATTTCAGCATGCGAGCCTCTCCTGCATTCTCTGTAATTCAGTATTCACACTCTGCTATAGATCACCCGTATTAACGCACACGGTAACAATTCTGGCCCAGGAGGTGATGCCTGAAGCCCACATAACATCGTGACGCTGGTCACCACACAGTTCTGATGGGTATTTCCACATACGGAGGCCTATCCATTCAGATCTGCAACTGGGCAGCAAGTGCATGCTGGAATATGCGTTCCTGTGAACCACATTGTATTTTTGCATAAATGCCTGGAAAGAGCTAATACCGTGTTATTCATAACACCCACGACTTTATGTTTATTTGAAAACACGTTCAAAGTTCAACTGATGACCTATTTTGAAATAGACTTGGTTTGAGACACTGCCTTTATTGCATAGGGCTCCTGCTCATGTATACTAAGAAGAAAATTCACCTGCACGCAGAAGAGACTATGATTTGAGAGCGCGCAAGTCATGAGACTTATGATTTGAGTAGCGCGCAATCCTTCTGCTGGTCTCTGCTGCACGAGCAGAAAATCTTTGAGAGCGACTGGTGAAACACACACGATTAGTTGCTATACCTAAAAGTATTGGTGTCACTATTTTATTGGGTCAGGTGTATAGGAATAACCGGAACAGCAAAATAATCTCCAGCTGCTAAGCAGACTACTAGAGACCTTTTTCAAAAGGAGGACTGGGAGAAACTGAGTCTCTGGGGCTTGTGCTGAAGGGTAGGAAACCTCACAGAGCAAGGCACCGCCACGCAAACCCCAAATGTTTTAGGCCCCGCCTGAACAAATTAACAGAACATCAAATCTAGCTGTGTTTCCATGAGGCTGCTCCCAATTGCTTATAGCTATACGTTTCCCGTTTGAAATGGGCACACGAAGAGATACGGAGCGCTTCTGTTGCATTGTCCTCAGCCAGCAAGCCTGTGCTTTTGAGCAAGCCTTGCTGCAGATCAAAGCTTGACACAACAGATCATAACGCAGCAATATTTAGGGAGAGCCCGGGACTCGGTCACTGTATTAAACACCCTGGCACTTGTCCTGTTTTCTTGCAAGAGGAAGGAAATCGGGGAAGGGAGAGGAAGGATTAAGGAGAATACCTGTGGATTTTTGGTGCATATTTCCCTGCTTTTTATAGCCATTGGAACCAGACAGAAACAAAACACTTGGTGCAGAGGGGAATTAGAGTTCAGCTTTTCCCTCATCTTCACCATTGCTCTAGATGCCTTGCAGGTAGAAGGGCTTGAAGAAAAATGTTACAAACTGAAGCACTTACAGGACTTCTTAACTGACAGTGCTCCAAAATACACGCCCCCCCAAAAACCCATGAGGCAACGTCCTCTGTACGCTTGACCGGTTTGAGAATGCAAGCTTGCGGCTTGTCCTAGTATTAGAAAGAAAACTGCAACTGAAGGTCTCATCTGTAAGTAGCCTTATTGAATTTGGACACTGACGCTGCACAATGCCCTGGAAATGACTCAGCGTGGCTTAAACTGCTATCTGCGATTTTAGAGAGTAACAGCAAAGACTTACAAATAGGACCCAGCTCTAACAGCTTGTCGAAGGAGCAGCAAGGTGTGGTTCCAAGCGTTGCACAGAACTGCAGAGCCAAAAAAACAAAGGCAAAAAAAATGAAGTGTTACAGCAAAGAAAAGTATCAAATGAAAAAAACTGCTCGCAAGGGCAACACTAAACAGAGAGAACAGATGATATAGGGCAAAATAAACTGATCTTAGGCAATACCTATCCTTCAGTGGAACTTTTGAGAACCAATGTTTTTATCAATCAATCTTTATCTATACTGGGCCTTCCCATATACCTGAGACACATGGGGAGAACAGAATAATCACAGTGCCTTGAGGTACATTTATGGCTTCTCTGGAAGTTTAATCATCCTTTGAGGGAGGTTGCTTTAAAAAGATTGCAGGGTATTTTTTTAAAAAGGAGTAAGTTTGCTCCCTTTTTTTACTAAGAGGGCACGCGTGTATGGAGTGGCAATATATTTATCGCATTATCGTCTACCTAAGATGTTCCCACAACCAGGAGAAACCTGCATTTCACCTTTAGCTGAGCCACAGATCTACAGATTGTGTCACAAGAAATGGAGGATACCGTGATGAAAATTCTCATTTGTCTCTACCCATAAAGAACAGGGGTTAACCCATTGGATTGGAAAGTACCCAAATAAAGAGTGCACTATAGACTTAGCCCTGCTTTTGTACATATAACGATAATATGGCGTGGACTTTCTGACAAGATTAGAGCGAAATTATCTTGGCTACTCCAGCAATTAAAATAACGATGGAGATTTCACAACAGAAAGTTACCCATTATTGTTATTAGTGTCGTACTGCAGTTAAAGCGTTCTCCTTCTGATCACGATAAGGAGTGTGTTGCTTCAATGAGAGCTTACATGAGTTCCAGCATATGCGAAGTCATTTAAATAATGGCTTGTTCCGTAAAGTCTACCTCAGTTTCTGAAATAATTTTGGTGTCCTCTCTGCAGGTGTCTAAGCCTCGAAGCTACTTGTTTTAATTCTCAGAAACCACTTAAAGTGACAGCATCTGCTCTTGTCAGGACTCCCATTACCCCGCCTCAGTACTACACAATGCACGTAACTCAATTTGTAACCTGTGTAACGCCGGCAAAATCACATTTGTGCAAAGGGCAGGGGACAGGCGGCATCACAGAAACGGGACTGATGGCTCAGTATAGCCCGCAGGCCTTATCCTTTCCAGGCTGTGCGCTTCACATTTGACTCAGCCCTGGTTGCGAATACAAAGCAGCCAAATGGCTTGCATCAGTCATCTCCTGTGCTGCTTTCCGGAAATCAAGAGCTGTGTCAGGGAACATGCATGAATCCTTATGGTGCCTGAGAGCAATGACTCCCAGTCTTTTCAACTGGAAGGCCTCCTACAGCTTTTGAAAAAGACGTGGACACGTGTTGCACAGTTTCACCACAAAGCTTTTCGGTTGCAATCAACTAAAGTGAGGCAGAGCTTTCAATGTTCTCTTCTCATTTTTATTTTCTCCTACTCAGTTGTTTGCCAGCTTGCACTCCTCAGAATGTCTGTGGCTTGAAGAAAACTGCAACAGTTTACTAAACCACCATTCAGGATTTTACAAAACAGCAATCATTCCCAGACTGTGGGTTAAGAAACATCGCCCTAGACATCTGTATATGTCTCGAGAATGCTTCTGCCAAATGGGAATCTGTGGCCAGGATCTAAGTGTTACCTTCTACTGAAGAGATGGCTCCTCTCTCAGTCTAATTCTGATTTATTGTTTCCCGAGGGAGTCCGGATACAAGCAGCCTGCTTCTTAATACCCTGCAGATCATCATTCAGAAGAGGCACTTCAGCTAGAATCAGAGAGATTTCATGCTGGGCCGTTGTTCAGCAGCGAGGCGATCACATTATAGCAGCTTTATACTGGATGAGGTTGTTGAGGTATATTGTACTATATTGATGCCAGCTGCAATGTATCAGTGTGGATTTACGAAAGACAGCATAAAGCTCACAGGCCACTTTTACACACGTTCAAGCGTGGCTTGAGTGCAGTGGACCCTACATCTGCATGTAGCAGTGCTTAACTTAGTGGCCTCCCGGTCAACATTCGTCCAACGTAGAGAGGCCTGTCTCAAGCTGGGAGCCCAGGGCCCAACTGAGAACGGCGTTTACCTGTGTGCTTACCCACCGGTTAGCGGCTATAATTAATGAAACGGGCATGACTTCAGCACACGCTTTAAAGCTCCCCCTTAACTGGTGGCCAGACGAAGGGCTGCGTGTCAGGCACACTTGGAAATGGTTCCTCAGTAAGTCGTGGCAACTTCGGTGCCTCAACACCTGACAGGGTTAAGTGCTCTGTTTGCACAGTCTGCTTGCTTTACTCTGAGAAAATCTCTCTGTTTCCATTTCTGCAAAAGTATTTTGAAAGAGACAAATGAACACAAGTCTGAACTTAGAAATAAAAAAGAAACAAAAGTAGAGGTCTGGGTACGCTAATTGGCAATAGCCTTCACTGAACAAAATGATACGCACATTACTAGTGCTAAAAGACATTGGTGGTGGATAGGAATTCAAAGACTCCTTCTAAAGACAATGCCTCTCCCAGAAAAAGGCTGACTGCCAAATCCTATGTATGTGAAAAGCAAACCTATAGTTACCAGATTGCTGTAATGAGAGAACCTGTTTCACATCAAGCAATCGCGCCCCTGATTCTCCCCTCACCTCTACAAGCAGAGCACTTCTGTCACGTTCAGTATAATGATGCCTCATTTATTCATTAAATGTAAGAGGAGAATCGTGCCTATAAGGCATTGTAATTTGCTTCTATTTTCTTTTTAATCCCCTGCAAAACTTTTTTTGTTTTTTTGCTGATCAAGGAGACTGCATCAGCTTGGATGCAACCAAGATCTCTTCGTTAGGAGCGATCTCTCTGCTGTCACATGTCTCTGCAGGCAGAACTTCTTCTGTTAAAACCTTTTCCTTTGACGTTGACTCGCTCCCCTTAGTGAAGGATCAGCA